GCAAGACCTAGAACGTTATCTTTAAGCTAATCTGCGCTCCAATTTTAGATTAGAGTTATAGTTAATTTTCCCGAATTACNCCTGAGAGCACTCATATTTATTACATAAATATTCATTTTATTTTAATACAAGGATAGAAACGTAAGATCACATGATAAACATTTGACTTGCCATCACATCTTATTGCATTGTTATTATATAGCTTGCTTCAATCTGAATCAATTTCATAATCTTCAATTTCATAATCTGGAAATTTAAATACTGAACACGATTCTCCTCAATTTTGAACATTGTCACATCTACTGAAATAGATATTGTGAAAATTCAGATGCTGAAATTAACCTCCTTTGAAAACAGATGTTTTTAGGAAACAATGATATGAAAATTGATATACTGAAGTTACTGATTTCATCTGAATTTTGTAATCAATCTTGGATGATGTATTGAGATAATGAAATTCAGATATAAATTGATTCATCTTAATTTTTGAAATTTATACAAAGTGAATTCATACGACTTATTTTTTGTATTTTTATATGAACACATTACAGTTGTGCTAGCTTTTGACTCACGCTTTTATTTTATTTCATTTTTTAATATCTTATCCAGATTACAGCCATTGCGGTAAGATAACACTGTGTAACCTAATATAACTGCACCTGACTGTTATATGTATATTGTTTTATATAACATGTTGAATATAATTTGTTATTTGTTATCTTTATGTGTCTTTACTTCTTTATAATGTTATTTCTGCACAACTAAAGTTTACAAACATTAATTTGATGTGATTCTATTTTGTTTGCTGTGTTTGTGTTTCTGTGTTTGATTTGGTTTTGTTTTGAATTTGTAATCAAGTTGTCAAGGAAATGATACCTAATGGACTGGATAAAAAGTCACAATGAAGTTTTTTACATTATTGACAGCAAAATTGAGATATACATGAAGCATTTAGTGAATAAATTTATACAAATAAGATGGTTCATATATGAAATTATCCTTATGATCAAAGAACAAAATCCAAGGAAGTGTTCTTTCAAAGTACTAATTTCAATAGAGGGATCTTATTAAATACTTCAAATGTAACACTTTGCTTTTGGTCAAATAGAATAATAAGTTGGTAGATCAAGGGTTAGATAATGAACAGGCTCATAATCTTTCATTTTATCAAGAAGATTTTGAAGATCTTGTTAATAAGAAAGTTTTTATTGATGTAGGATACCTGGTTCTACAACATCAGAAAGAGCACTAAGGCTTCATCACTCTATCAAAGAGGCAGAAGAAATAGATGTAGAAAAACTGGCAGAACAAAGAAAGAAAAATAAAGAAAAAAGAAAAGAAGCAGAACGTGAAAGAAAAAGAGCAGTGAGAGCTGCTTATGCTAGACGAAGAGAAGCCAAGTTAAAGAAACCTCCTTCAAGGGTTTGTAGATGATTATTCTTAAGTAAAACAAGATCCAACTGACACAATCCTATATCTGAGAAAATGAAGACAGGATTGTACATGATGAAATTAAACAATCAAAAAAGGCCCCAAAATATTCTTTTATCTGAAGTTTGCCAATTATGTTCAAATTTTGTTTTTTGTTTTTTCTTAGAAAAAATCTGGTGTAGAAGAAGGTGATATAGTAGATAAAGTTGGAAAATTACCAACCTTTCAAGAAATGGCTTCCAATAAACAGTAAGTGTTGTATTTATTGCTACTATTTAATCAACAATGTATTCAACAATTTAGAAAATATACCAGCCACATGAAGAATCAGTTTTAAGCCTTAAGGTCTTCTGAGTATAACTTTAGATCTTTATCATATACACTTCAGCTAGTTTGATTTAGGGAATTTTGTGACTTTTTATTTTAAAAGAAGTCTGTAAATCACATTAATACTATATATATTAAAAATTCGAATCTTCTCTGCATGCATGGATGAATTTACAAGATGCTTGTGGAATATGTCCACTTTAAGATTTTCGTAATAAAGCAAAGAGTTATTACGCTGAATTATATCTATTTTTATTTTTTTTAGAATGATCCAGTTATTTAAGAAATATTTGAATGAGTTTGATAGCCGTGAAGTCAGTTATATGATAGGTTTATATCAAGATGTAGATAATTATTTCAATAGCAAGGAAGGTAAATCAAGAAAAGATAATCAATCAAATCAAATCAACAAGTAAGTTTTTTTATGCACATTTCATTAAAGGGACAGCTGCGGCATTTTTCACCATACTTTAGTCTCAGAAACAGGATTTTTTTTTTAGCTAAGCCAATCAGTAATAGTATTCACAACTTGCTGTTGAAACTTGAGATATTTTTGAAGGAATTTTGTACATTACTGGTACTTCTGAAGACTTGTTACAAATATTCAATCCTCAAATCAACTCCACAAAATGGTCCATCTGTCCCTTTAAAACTAACTGGAATAACAATAGTAAACAAACTGCAGAAGAACAATATACATTGCTGTGTCCTTTAATCAAATATGCTACCTGCTTTCAGCACAAAAAATGCTATCATGCTGACACTGTGAACCTGCATTACTTTAGGAGAGCTTCCTAGTGCAATACAGAAAAAGCTAAAGTCCATAGCATGATAGGCTGTAGGCATACTATTTATTAGATAAGAATTTGAAATGAGAATTAGGGATGGGAGCAAATATTTACTTGTATTTGCCTTTGAAGTATTTGCCTACATTTGCCATTGAAAATAAGCCCAATTGATTATAACAATCACAATTATCGTCTGCTATGTATTATTTTCTGTTTTGTTATTGATCTGCATGTATGTTGTGTTGTTTTTTTTTCAGGTCATATTTTGATAGTCAAAGTAGAAAACATGTCCCAATGCCAGATAGAGTTATGGCTAGACTTAGTGTAGAAAAAGAAAGACCCAGAACACCCACTCTGAAAGATGCACAGAAGTTTGTTTTAAGTAAAATAGAAGATAGCTTTAAAGAATTCTTAAATGTAATTTCTGTTCCATTTCTGACTCTTTTTAGAGTTACCTCCCCTGACACAATGGCACACTGATGTTGACACAAATTTTGCTTCATTAACTCAATTAAGATGTAGATTTTCTAATCTTTGAGATATAAATATGCATAATGATACTAAATATTATTAAAAGTAGGCAAACTGTCTAAAAATCTTTGTAGAAACACAAATATCGACTCATAATTACCTCCCTTGATTAAAAGTTCCAGACTACAACTATGTTATATGTGTTTCAGTATCAAGGTGAAGAATTAGGTATTGATCAAGAAGAAATGATGGCTATGTCTGGTGCTGAACTGACTATGAGACTAGGTAGCGATGCAGCCATGCTGTCCAATTGGAATAAAAGAAGTACTAAGTCGAAAGGAAAGGTAAAGATATTGATTGCTACTCATGGTATATGGAATGCAAAAGATTTTCCTAGATCAAACTTTTTTGTTACCATATTTCAGGCACAACTTTTCTTCTGAAGCAAAATTAGTCACAATCTGTTCACAGCCTAATCTTTGATTTACTCTAATAGCACTTAAGGTTAAAATGTTCTTTATTAACTGTACAACACAAAATATGTTTATCACCATGTTACCATGTTGTTTTTGTTATTAACAAATGTATACAACATTAACAATGTATACAATGCTAACAGAAAGCAGCTAAGGAAGAAGAAGAACCTCCACTACCAGATGCTGTAGTTAGAGAATTAACAATAGAATCTGTAAATATCAGAATGGTAGAAGCACCGTCTGCTAGTAAGGTCAAAAGGGTTCAGGGTCAGGCCAAATCTGATGGAGAAATAACGCCAAGTGATCGTAAAAATAAAATAAGTAAAAAACCGACCATGCCTACAGTTAAGGTAAAATGGATGTTGTTAACCAGGCATGAAGTAATATTTACAGTTATTCATTGTTTTGCTGTATCTTGTAGGTACCGGTATTTTATTGGTACCTCTTGATAAACTAACACAATTTATATTATCTGAAAGACATTGCTCTAATAAATGATGAATTTTACAATAATGCTTCATTTGCTTTAAAACATTAAAAAATGCTACTCTACATGTATGTATATTAATAGTTTTTGACTTTAATGTAATAATTTTGACCCTTTAATTGATGCTTATGCTTTCGTTGATAATACTCTATGCTATCTTATATACAGATAATATCTTTGACAATATGATAATAGGCAGTGTATGGTTTAATTTTAAAATATTAACAATGGAAAAATATCAACGTTATTTTGAATGATTTATGATTGCAATACTATCACTTTTTAATAATGCTTGATATGAAAATATGATTTAAATATTACAGAATGATATTAATGCTTCAATAACACTAATAATGATTCTTGACTAAGATATTATAAAGAAGTTTGCTGTAATTTTACTGATAATGCTTTAATACAATTACATGTAATTATAATGATTTTATATAATCATTGCTTTGTTTTATTGATTTATAAAAAACTTTAATATATGCCATAAAAATAAGATATAAGATGATGTATTGAGCACTATATTAACAAAAAAGAAAAAAATTTATAATTGCAATGAAAATTACATGACATTTTGCGTCAGAAATTTAGAATTGATAATTAATTATGAATAATATTATGAATGAAATAAACTTGAATAATTAAAGAAAATTATAATTAGATTTACCATTGTATAAAATTGTATGTAAATTAGGAAGAAGGAAAGAGAACTCTTACTAGAGAGAGTAGTTTTCATGATGCTCCACCTGTTGTTAAACATAGATTACGTAGATATAAGGTAGGCATAAATAACAGACTCTTTAAAATTCAATAAGATTTCTTTGCCTGTGATGTAGAAACGCTCAGAATTGCAGTTGAAACTTGAAGTGAACATGAAAGCATCTGTAACAACTGATACTTGTCATTGCTGCTTTGAAGCAATCAAATCAACGTAACCTTTTAGAAATATGTTATAAATTATTGTGAATCGTCAATCGTCACATGATACGTTTCTCAGAATCATTAGGTGAGGGGGTCGAGAAGCGACAACAGAATTGTTTAGGGGGGCAAATGTAATTCTTTGTGAAATGATCAAAGAAATTTGAAAGTGGGAGTACCAAAGCTTGGTAAGCTTCATGTCTTGGGGGGTCATATGTCCCCTTTTCCATGTGGATTTGTGGACTTTGTTTATAATGAAGATATATAATACCATTACAAATGTAATATTTGTGCAGCCAGTCAGACATGACTGTCAAATACTATCATATATTGTGCCAGTCAGATGTTCTGTATGTTGATAGATTATTTCAGCCTGATATATAATTGTATATATTCTAGCATGGAGAGGTATGAATATGTAATATATTTGTGATCTTTCAATGTTTTTAATGGATATCTATTTATACATTTTATACTAATACATCCATGTGATCCCTGACATTTTGTTTTTGATTGTGTGAGTTGCAGTGAAAAATGGCCATACCATGACCATGACAATTTCTTTCTTCAATTTACTTTAAACTCTAAAAGGCTTTTAGATTTTAAATCCAAAACTGATAGCAACAATCAGGTTCTGTTCTTGCATATCAGATGTACAACAAGTCCTGAACCAAACAAGAAATTTCTGCACAATAAGTAAATTTGTAGAACCAAACTTCTCTCAATTATGGAGCAAGTTTCAACTGCGATTTTGAATAATTAAGAGCTTTAAATTATTTACCAGAGTGTTTTTTTTTTATATATATTCTATGAATATTTGAACTGTAATATATCATTGAACATGTCAAATTATTTTTTATGCTTCAAACTAATGCTTTTTGATCAGGTTTTTATTTCAGCTTTGTTAGTTTCAGCAAATATTTCTTTAATTTATCATCATTTATTTAAACTTTTTAGCTATAAATTTGTACTTTGAAATATCATTTACAAAAAATTAATTCAAAAACAGTAATAAATTCAAAAATATTCACAAATAATTTCAGTATATTTAAAGTTTATGCTGCCAACAAGTGCTTTGAATGTAAAATCCTTGTAAGGTTTTTTTATATTTTTAGCAAACTGGTAGAGCACAACCTAATAAAAATGACATGGCAGACTTCATTTCTTACTTAAGTCAAGCAGCATTTGGTCATTTACCATTAGAAATATTGTATTTCTACAAATATCTAGTCAAACATGGCGAAGAAGATGGTTTACCATTGGTTGATAGAGATCTATTCTTTTATATTGAAGTTCAGAAATTTAAGGTTAGTTTGGCCCAATTCACAAACATTAAGTTTGTACACAACTCTTTGAATTTATGCAAGAATATAGCTGATAGGATTTATCTTGAGTCAGAAATGAAATTGTTTTTACGTCCTACTTTTCTGCACCATGTGGGCTAATGAAGACGGGCAATGCCATGCAGGGTGCAATGAGGGAAATTTTGCCAGGACATTCTTGAGTGGGAGAAAATAGATCCAACCCATCATGGCTTACAAATAGATATATTGAAATATACCCTGAGGTATCCGCACTAAATACCATCAGGGTACACTTTGACATAGTGGAGAACAACTTTATTTGCAACTATATATCCATGGATTTCAAGGGAAAAGAAGGATTATTTTGAAGTATATGTATGTTTTTGTTTCTAGGATATAAGTCATGCCTTTTCTGATGAAGAAATATTAAAAAGAAAAGTTCAGTCTATTGTGGATTGTTTTCTGGAATCAGTTTATACACCGTCTTTACAGGTAAAGTTATCTATAGTTAAAATACAGAGTTATCTTTCTTGGCACAATTTTCATTTTTTATTCTGGATATAAATATTTTATGAAATCATGCATTGATTTGGTATTGCTTTGAGGCGCTTTCAACAAACTTATCTCCCCTGTGTTTTCAATAAATATTAAAGGTGGATATTGGAAGTGATATACAGCAGAAGATATTAAAAAGTGTACAGAGATATATGGCTGGTAAAGAATTTAATCCAGCTATTTTTGATGACGCTCAAATGACAGTGTTTAAAGAACTATTACCATATTGGGCTGGTTTTAGAAAATCTTTCTCTGAACCAGAGGATAAAACCAAAAAGCCAAGTAAGTCAAATATATCTGATTAAACAAATGGGATAGCCTTTTATTGGTCGTATGAAAACAGACTGCATCATGCTGAGTTGTTCTTTGAAGAAAATATTGCTTGTCCATTGCTTTAATTTGGATTTCAAATATTGACTATCTTGCAATGACTTGCATCCATTACTAAGCAAGCAAGCTTTGTGTTTTTTAATTTGTTAACGAAGAAGTTTATTCTGGGCAATGATTGTTATAAGATTGACCCTCTTTCTTCCAGTGACTAAATTAGAGAAAACCTTAAAGAAAAGATTGGACAACATTCAGAATTACCAGATACCGTCTGCTACCCTCAAATTACCTCCCATTCCTGAAGGGGCTGTGCCAGCTTTTTCTTTATCATTAGCTGAAGGCATTAAATTCAGGGTAAGGGTAAGATACATCATCCATTCTTTTCATCTAATACCTTATCATATGTACATGCACTTTTAAATGTTAGCTTGCACAGTAGGAGATATCTAATGAGAGAAATAAGTTATTCCATATTCCATATTTAAAACTGAGAATATTTTGCAATATATGGGCTATCAATGTAATGTTTCATGGTGTATAAACTAAAAAATCAGTCGCAAGACTCCATGGCCATTGGTCAAAGTACACAAAAGATGCCTCCGTAATATTTAGAGCTCAATTCAAAAGATGAAACTTGCATTAATCATTTCAGCCAGGTTCGTCTGATAAGAGTCATAGTAAAACTGGCTCAGTAAAATCAGACACTGCTGAGAGACCAGCATCTGTTGTCTCAGATAGGAAATCAGAGGTAGGTCTGAGAACTGTAACTGTCAACTCAGATAGAAAATCAGAGGTTGGTCTCAGACCTGCATCTGTCAACTCAGATAGAAAGTCTGAGACAAGTATTGTAGTGTAAGGGTGAGTGAAAAGCTAAGATAGATGCTTGGTAAAGGGGAAACACTTTAGAGGGCCTAGGCATTTTGATTTATTGGTATTGGTTCTACTTTCATTTTTAACACTTCATTATTCATTACTTCCATCCTTTTTCTACACTTTCAAAAAACTTTCATCATTTTTATGAAGACTCATCTATCATTCAACATTTTCAGTCTGTTAGTTTTCTTGTAGGATAGTTTTTCACTTGTAGGCTAACACTTTATAGTAGAATCTTAAGGTTGAAGTTATTCCTAGTAGGATGTTTCAATGCATGTTATAGGGCTGGGCGACCTAAGATCAAGTGAATATTTATCTACCAGACGTACCAGTCAAGCATTATTTTTAATTAAAGCATTGATCAATACAAATCCATTTACCACAAAACAAATTTCACATCCTACTGTTCTGCTCTTGATTGGGTTAATGAAGATGGCCTCAAGACAAATTTCATCACCAGCGTATTGCCCAGCTCTATCATGATCTAGAGTTATCTTTACTTTTCTTCTAATATTATTGTTATTAATTTCATTGCTGCTTTAGTAAGGAAATGCTTGGTAAGTGACAAGATTAAGTTTTTGTCAAAACCTATATAAATACATTAGAGAACAAATGCTAGAGTGTCATTAGTTTGTGCTCATTTTTGCTGGTGACCAGTTATTACTGCCAAATCTGGTTCCTCTTTGGACAGTAAAGGTATCTGTATAAAGTAGTATGGCAATGATTCTCATCTGCTATAGTTAAATGGCTGTTTTATAATCAAGTTTTGTACTTCATATAAAAAAAATATCTTTTATCCGTTGCTTAAAATCAATAGGGCCTTAAATTCAGCAGGAAAGATTCAAATATCCCTTCTTGATGATCGATATTGACACATTCTTATTTAAATAAAAAATCTCATAACAAATATAATGTACTGGTATTCTAATAAACAGGAAAGACAGTAATAAAATATTGTCACTGTTATTTCTGTATTTCAATATTTCTATACAGAAAAGATTCTAATATCTCATACCTACTTGATGGTCAAAGTGGACATTTTCTCAAATGTTTTTGTTAAATGATGTTTTTGATTTTTCAGGAGATTGATGATGGTAATATGTTATCAACACCAATGCCAGATCGTGGCAGACGACGTTTGTCTATAGCCCAGAGTATAGACAGTCGTGCTAGTCGGCGAATCAGCAATCATGATAATAAAAATTTACTGATGGTCAGATGAAGAGTCTTAAGAATGTCTGCTAATAACAATTTTTCAACCTGTGAAATTGGCCGTGTAATGATAAAAGAGATAATTTTGTAATATGAGAACATCCTGACCAAAAATGTAGACAGAAAATATCTGATCTTCCAAATATAGGAAGGCCTACGTATGGCAATGTCTTATGTTTGAACCTTTCTCATATTTTCGTGTTTGAATTAAAGACTTGATACTTTTGAAACTATGAACATAATAATGGAAATTGTCATTTCATCATCAGGTTTCTCTCACTGAAGGGTATCTGAAAGTTCTGGAACTGGCTATGTTTGTAACACGCCTATGTTGAAAAGGCTTCTAAAGAGGACAATTAAGAGAAATACATTTGAGTGTTATTGTTCTCCTTATTTTGATTTTCGCTTTTCATCAGTTTGAGTTCTTATGTGTTTGCATCTTGTTGCCTGTTTGTGCCCTGCAATACTTTACTAAGCTAACTAGTTTACTGATTATTATATACAATAATGGAGAATTCCAAATGCCATACCTAGTTGGGAATTCAACCAGCTTTTAAGCTTCTTGATGGAGTCAAGCCCATTCCAAGCATCAAACATGGTCATTATAAGCTCAAACTGTGATAAACTGTCTCTGATATTTTATATTATATTTTGTTTATGAATAAATAATTATTTATGAATTGAAACTGTGATATTAAGTGCTATGAACAATAAAATGTTGAAGTGTAAATATAGAATGTACTTTCTTACCTTATTTCTTCTTCCAAATATCTGGAATGAAATGAAATGGTCTATAACATCCTACTTTTCTGCAACTCCAAACAATTGAAATAAAAATTACTAGGGATAATGAAGATGAGAACCTTTCTGGAGCATGAGTTTTTGGACCAAGTCAAGGACACTCAATCCAATTTTGACATTAGACATATTTCATCAAGGGCAATAATTTATGTATCCCTTTGCAAAAATTGACCAAAATACAGCTGAGAATCTTATAAGATTTAGTCTTCATCAAGCTCACCAGACCAGCAATGTAGTATATATTTTATTGGTTAAGTCAGAAGAGATCATACTCTACCCTAACTTGAATGAAAAAAAGTTATCTTTCATTCAAATCTGATCTCAACTTCATTTACAATCCAATATCTTATAAGTCATGGTTTGTGCAAGAAGAAAAATTTAGCAAAGACAAGCTTCAACCTATTATTTTTTCAATTTGAGCAATAGAGGAATTTTGTCTAGCCAAGAACAATCACCTGCTATTTTTCATTTCCTGTTGTTTGGATCTGTCCTCCATGTTAGATATACATATGAAAGCTATTCTACGATACAAAAGCTATGAACTCTTTTGAATCTGAAATAAAGGTCAGAAACTAAAATCATAAGAATACAAGTGCAGTTGCACTTCTTCAAATCAAGTAATCTTCCAGATTGCTAACAGTCTATGAAAATTCTGTTGCTCTTAAATAGCGTCAGCTGCAATGTGGACCTGGTTATACCTCTAAAGATAGTGATTTTACTTCAGGCTTTGGATTGCAGTTCTATAACAACTATATTTTACAAAGATAACAACTTAGGTTCACATTTAAGGATCCTTTCTACCAGCTGGTCCTTGGCGAAACCTCTTTGCATTGATTTTTCCCGAATTATCTGATGTTAATTGTAGTATATAAGCTTAAATTTCATTATATTTTGAGCATTTACGTTTGCAAACAGAGCCAACCCTTCATTTAAAATACAACAAACAAAACTATAAAACTTGAAGTATATAAATATTTATAGCTTGATAATATCACAGTAATAACAAGGTAATTTCTAATCAAAATATTGAGCAATGATAGATATACTATAATACTGGACAGTTTAATATTATATTAAGTATTTATTTATAATTGAGCTGAATAAATTAAATAAATGAATATAAAAAACACAACAAATATATTACAATAAAATATCACAGTTCATTGGTAAATATTTCTCTATATACAAAAAATTCTTTATTTTGGCATTCAACTAACACTGATAACACATGATATTGATGCTATTTATCGGGATACACTTATCTAAATATATGTATCACATGTTAAAGTAAGTATCTGATAACCTGTACTGTTCCATTGAAATAAAATAAAGATACATAATGAGATTTTTCACAGATAGTCAATAACATCATCATATATTTTGTTAAATTGTGGTGAAACCATAAAACAGATTTCAAAATGCAAAAGTGATACAGATAGTTAAAATTAAGCTTTATCAGTTTCTATATATATATGAAAACCACTTTTCATATTGTTCAGAAACAACAGCATATAATGAACATAGAAGCCCTTCTTTTATCAGATATCAAGGAAACATTAAGGCTTCATTTTTTGATTTCTCACAAGCAGAGCAAACATAAATATCACACCAGAATCTTAAAGCAAATAATTCTTGAAATAAGTAAAGTATCACAAAGTAATACTGATAAAATTGAAACACATTTTCTTTGGTAATTAATATGTGTGATTGCAATAAGATAATGCTATATTAGGTTTTTAGCTTTTGAGAACAAACTTTGAAGAGATATAGCCACATAAATATTTGTTTTACCAGTCAATACATTTCTCTCAAATTAATTTAAGTCATTATCATTTTCATCAAGCATGTATGGACACAATACTTGTACATCAACTGCATGCCAAGTTTATTTTTGAAAAGTAATTCATGTAGCTTGAATAAATCAGGTAATGCACATAACTAACCAATATTCCTTCCAGTCTGAATATATTGGCAAGTTATAAAATCATCAACACAGTAAATAAGCAAAACTATCAATAACCATTCAGGCATTTAAGGCCTTGATGTCTTTCCCTAATCCCATAGTATTGTTCTTTCAGTCATCAAGTTGACATAGCATAGCCACACCCCTCAATACCCAGAAATCAGAGGTCTGGTTTGTTGGAAGATTGACAGATGTCACAAAGTTTGTAGAATGTCCTGTAGAGGAAAGAGTACCAGCTCTAGTTGATGTTCTATATAATGGACATTGGTAGATCTTCTTGTCAGTTTGTCCAGTTTCTACATTTGACGAGGCTGTAGGTGGAGCTTGATTCACCTGAAAAAAGTTTAAATATTCGTGACACCCTCATCTTGTACTGTCTCATCAGAACAACTAGAGTTGTAAATAGTGGATAACATTGAACAGTAATTAGGAGGACATAGGAGTAATGATAGCACACTAGTCTACCAATTAAACTTGCACTTTGGTTTTATCATTAATCTTTACGATCTAAGACAATGCTTTTTTGTGACTATATTCTCATCACCTTACACCAGTCTTTTTAAGTAATATTCAAGTTCGAAATAAGATGTCTAGCCATCTATCTGGAACTTTCCCAATCTAGAGGATTCTGGTATAATGTTGTTCAGACATTGATAGGACATTCACCATCATTGAGGATAATAAACCAACTCATTCCCTTGTCAGACAATACTCTATCTTGCCAGGAGATGATGTAATGAAACTCAATAAATATGATAATTTACCTGTTTTGGTAAGAAATGTATTTCTGGAAGTTGACAGAAACGTTGATTGATATGTAAATCTTGTAATGAATGGCTTATATTATCCCATCTAGCTCCATCTAAATATAACCCAAATATCAATACACCATCTTCTGGTGGTTTAGAACCCTGAAAATATTGTAACTACAATTATAGATGGTAGACAATTTAATATAAATTAAATTAGACCATAAGTCATATTATATTTCTTTTCAAGCTGATAATCAGATTCCAGTATTTGAAATTGACTGAGTAAAAATAATAAAGCATTTTTGTTTGGTCTTGAGCTTACTTTATTGATTTCAATCAATTGACAACAGAAAGCTAGATTTTAGGTTCATTTGCCTTAAATATGCTATTTTAATTAAATATTTTGAAAAACATTTGATCTTTAGTCCTTTACTATTACAAGAATAAGTCACATATAGTCTTCAAAACATATGTCAACTACAGGAGCAACTGAATGCTTTCAGACATTGGTGGAATTGAGTTAAGCTGCAAATAAACATAAGCCTAGATTTTTAAGATTCAAAGCTTTAAGTCCCAAAGTCTTACCGTAAAAGCTAGATTCTTAATATCAGTGACTGGATATATAGTATGATCATCAGTATTAGTATCATTATAAATACTAACAGCTTGTACTATAAAATCAAACTCTAGTGAATCTACTGATATTCCTTCTTTTCTGGCATGGTTCTGTAATACTGCTGTCAAAAATCCTGAAAATAATAATAATTTCACAGATAAAATTCAGCATGGCCCATTCATTTGTATGGAATTTAAAAATAGTAATATTAAACACTTTAACTTTATTTGTGTAAAGTACTGCATTTCCAGTACCTGCCCAGACAGACCTGAGCTTCCTTGATCAAAACATTAGGGCCTGGATCACTTGCAGACACAAAAAAATTCATTTTAGTGTAACAGAATACACTTTATTTCTTTAAAAATAAATGTCATACCTTGAGGAAAGAAAAACCCTGATAACCAGAAACATCTTGGTTGTATAGGATCATTGGTTACCATGGTTTCAGTGTCGGTTTTCGATGGTTTCATCATTTTATTATATTTACGTTCTACAGCTGATGTTATTAAATCAGACCAATTACAGAAAAAATCTACTCTTTGTATTAAATCTTGTATCCAGGAACCTAGTGGTTTACGTGACTCGTAAGCAGCCGTCTGCAAAAAAAAAAGCAAATAAGGTGAACTGGGTAAATAAATACTGGCAAAACTTTGCAAAGAGTGAAATTAGTAACAATAGGTTACTGCAAGTTAGCTTTCATCATTGTGATGTTGGTGTTTTTGGAATTGTCTGCTTCCATTGAAACTGGGTTTTTATTTTATATACTAATTTATTTGCATAGCTCTTGCTTTCTCACAGACGACCTAGTTATTTTCTTTCACTTTTTTAAATTCATCTACTTACCTCCCATTTCTGTGGAACATTTTGTATCAGTAGAGCAGTATAAGCTTCTTCTAGTGATTCTGACATAACTATTTCACCTTTAACAGCTAATATTAATAATGATAAAGATGTATGTATTATAGATAGTAGATGATTAAAACGGTCTATTTCTTGTCTTAATACTGTTATTAATGCTGAATTACCAATAACTTCTTGTGTAGCTTCTTCTAATGCTGAAATATATAACATGATACAGGTGTATTCATTTTTCAAAATATAACTGTAATATTCTTGTTATTAAAGTTAGATGAGAGTGGTTGTAACAACAATATATAATTGGAATTACGAAAGCACAGGCATTGTTAAAATGTTGTTGACCACATTCAGAAACACCCACATCACATTAGGTAAAATAAGTCACTTTCAATGAGTTTCATGTAAATCAGTTAAAACTGTAAGACAATACTTTTCAAGGGATCAAAATTTTCTACAGCACCAAAACTAACACAAAATTTCCTTCATTCATTTTTTCATTATATGTATACATACATTCCAAGTTTCATCCAAAATTGAAAATTCCAAGTTTGGAAACTCTGCTTTTCCAATTCTGTTTTTTATATTGAAAGCCTCACAAAGGCTCAATTCTTGGTGTTCATTATTTGATGCTAGTATCATGACAGTTGCAAACTGTTGGGTGCTGTTATTGAAATTACACTGCTTATATCTAATCAACACACTTAAGCATTTATTCTTTGATTTTTACACTTACCAGTCATTTTTGGCTTAGTTTTACTCTTACTATTTGAGATATCTTTCAATAGTAAAGATTTTAATGTATATTTAGGTAGTAGGGGAGAACCAGAAGTTGGGTGCTGTGTTTCTGTATCTTCTACAACTTTAGGTAATTTTTCTATAATCTCTGCTGCTAGTTCTAATACTATGACATCATTACTGTGTTTAGACCTGAAAAATATGATCCAAAAACTCATAAACAAATTTGGTTATATTGGAGTAATGTGCAAAATCTGAGTAGATCTTATATTTTCAATTTTATCTTCTTTATCCCTATTGGTAATTCAGAAATCAGTTTCAAATCAAAATGTTTAAATATGGACCATAGACAGACAGATACTTTTTCACAAAGGCACATAAAAAACACAATAACTTACCCACTAAGACCTCCACTAATTCTAGGCTGTACATTGATGATAGTGTCCATAATATCATGGGCTTGAAATTCTCTGCATGCTTTTTCAGCATTTTCTGTCATACCAAATATCTCAGAAGAATCTATACTTGGTAAGGCCTCTATATATCCAATAACATCATTGAATGATAGTTCAGATGACACTGGTTTATAATGCTAGAAAAAACATTTTAATATTGTGAATATGGTCTTTAACAATTAATGTGGATTGCAAACTTTAGATTCAAATTCATGATTTTTGTGGTGAATTATTATCTATGATCTGTATAAATCATTATTATACAACTTAATTTGAGTCTTAATTATCCGCACAATTCTGTTTCTGATTAAATTGCGCGGCTCAACAAATTAAACGAGTTGAAATATGCCATACGAGTCATAATTAGGATTATGTCCCTTCTTATTTGGACACCTGACAAGATAAAAAAAAATACTAAATACTAATTACTATACAATTTGATAATGGTTGCCAATCACAGCGAAAATGGAAACTGGATCATCAGCTTCATGGGTAATTCTACATAAAAATATTCTATTCGCAGCAAAAAGCGTGTGGATATTAGAGCTTCCCAGTTATCAGCAACTGGTTAAACAGGCGCCCACTGTATATTGGTAAGATCCATTGGAGCTTCTGGTAACTTTTTAAAATCTTAAAGTATGTTAAACTGACCTGGTCTACAGAGTAACAATGATCAGATTTTAATACGTCTGGCGTATAGAATTTACTGAGTAAACTTAATAAACAACGTCTATCCCAATCATCTGTTACACGACCACCATAGGTTACCTCCCCTGTTAAATACATCAAGGCTGCCCAGGGTATCTCTGATTGTTCTTCTAACAACATCTGAAGTTTTAATACTGATACCTGCAAGACAAATTCTAGTTTATAGCTAAATTTAATAGCTTTTCCTTTCTCTCATTGTACAGGTACAAGAGTCAACATTATTGCAGTCATAACCCATGCATGTTTCTAAACTAATAATGATCCAAAAATTCATAAATACTCTTTAGGGCAAAAAACACTAATAAATAAAAATATTGAAAAAGAAATTTTTTTCAATATGGAACTTCCAAATATGTTCTACATTATGAACCATGATGGTTTGATTTTGTTTGATAACCAAATTACAAGTTTTTTATTTGCCTAAATGAATCACCACTCATGTTGGTAGTAGACCAAAACTTGTTCTGGGTGAAATTAGTTTATCTCCTGGACCAATTAGTTTTGTCACCTGATGAGGTCAAATAATTGCAGTTTTACTTTAAAATCATGTAGTTAGGAGAAGGTTCAGATATTTTGGCAAAAACTTCAGCTCTCAACTTAAATAGAAACATTTGTGCTCAAATTTCATTCATTGACTTACTTCTAAATCTGAATCATTAAATTCATAAGATATATTCCAACCAAGAGTACCATATTTCTTTCTTTCTTGTATAATACTATTAAATATACATAGTCCAAACAGTAGCTTTCTCCAGGCTGGACTAGAAGCACCTCCTTCATACAGATTTTCAGTAATAACCCCAGCACCACCACTACCAAATGTTCTTAACATATTATTCTTGATACCTGTAGGTGGTTCTACTGTCATCTACAATTTAAAATTATAACAAAATAAGACACAATCTATAATAAATATGAAAGAAATGGAATTGAATTTTACACCCTACTTTTCTGCTGGGACAGATGAGGTAGAAAACGCCAATACAATACAAGGATAATTGCATTCATAAAAGTAGTTTACCTTAATACCAGTTTGTAAGATTGATACAGGAAATGAAGGATCAGGTTTAGAACTTAACCATAATCTAAACTGTGGGTCCATTTCATCACTGGGTTTGTTAAAGCTACAAAAACAAACTTCATCTTAAATACAGTTCAGTATAATGGTATTTGACTATTATAGAAACTTTGGTTGCTATGGAAATTAATTGGTTGTCATGTTTAATACTGAACCAAACTCTATTCTTTTCCAAATAACTAAGAAAGGTAAAATACATTATACTATCACTCAATATTATGTGGGTTTTTTGTTCAGACAGGGTGCTCATTATTTACAATTAAAGAGATTTTTCCATATATGGTGTGCATTGTATTCACAATTATATGGTATAAGATATTCACTGCTTGTAATACATGTTGTCTAATTTACAGTATTTATCACATAGGATATTTACCTCTCCACAATAGATTGTAATTTTGGCATCCAGGAAGCTGCAAGATGACAATTTTGTAAGAAAACCCATCTTCCTTTTAAAATCTGAGCTTTAGAAATGAGTTCTTCAGCCTTAGGACCTTGACCTCTACCTAATGATATCATATCTAGATGTACAGTACTACCACGTAATTCTTTAGCAAATCTTATCATCTGTGCTGCAGGATCACACCCTATAATTCACAAATTAACACTTTTTAAATATATTTCAGCCTCAGAGTATTAATAATTGACGTTATTGTTAGGTCTTTGTATTTCAACTGTAAAATCACCAAGGGTGACTTCGATTGAACCTCTGTGGTGGAGCTAGAGTTATTGATGCAGAAATGACGTAATTAGTGTCGGACCCGAGCTTCTAACTAGGTCAAATATTACCTCACATGAGTCTCAACTCTACAAAATAATTAGTTCGGTTGTGACTCGAGTCTAACTCAGGCCCATATTGATATATTGCTATTTGAATACAGAATGACTCAAGATACAGTAGGGGCACATTTAATGGGTCACAAACAATCCAGACACCTCAATATCCACATGTAATTTACTGGAAACAGAAGAAAATTATCTGTTAATCTGATGATCTGGTTTCTGTTTCCACACTGCTTTGTCAAATTATTTTCCTTTTATATGTTAAGCTTTTAACTGAATGAGATTTGTGTCCATTTGTGGCTGAAAATTAGCTTGCTATAAAATATGGAACTACATTTACATCAAGTAGCAGAGTTTGTAACATATTGTAACAATATTCGTTTAAACTCTTGCTTCAAAATACAAGAAAACTAAAATCCATCAACACAAATGCATTTCAAAAATAATAATGAAACATAAACAAAAAGATTGAACTATAAATATCAACAATGATTGTTTATTTTGTGTTCAACATGTCACTTACTATGAATTACACGGAAGTTACGTTTGCTACCTAGATCTATAGAAAATGATGATATAAGTTCTGATATAAAAACTAATTTGGTCAGTTTCCATTACCGTTATACCACAGTCTTGATTTGAATAAAGCAAAATTATAGATTCAGAGCAAGACTTTTAAGGCATATCTAGACCATCATTTTAACTTCACTCAGATGTATAGTTTCTGTTATTATAGAAATGGATACAATAAAAAGAAGCTGCTGTTTAGTTTAAGTGGAAATACGTAGGGCCTGCAGACCTCTAACTGAGTGAATGGTGCAAATTATGCTATCAATGTCCCACAAACATCCCTTTCAGAATTCCTGTAAAAAGTAACATTCGCTTTTACCATTTGGGATCAAAGATAAGAAAAAAAATTTCAAAATATGAAGTATGTGCTTTATACACTATTTCACAATTACATGGTTAGTTCACACTATTACTTTAAGCAATCAGATTAAAGAATTTACTCAAATCTGGATTTGGCACTTGAAAGTTTGATTTTCAATAAAAGATAAAGAATTAGACAGGGCTCTATACCTACCAGGTGACAGTATAAATATTAAAGGTGTTTTAGCTGTTGATTCTTTAAATATTTCTTTCAAATCAAAAGATCCTGTTGCTAAATACTCAGGTCCAAGTTGAGTTTTGATAAATTTATTTATAGCTGCAGGAAGCGTCTCAAAACTTAAATATCGAATTAATATCAGTCTTTGAAATTCACTCAACTTCTCCCATTCAAATATTATACTTGATTCTTCTTTCTCTGTTAATAGAGGTAGAATTATTACATGATTTAAATCATTTAGTCAGAGATCTAGTTTCATCTTTCTAATATTTCAATAAATAAAAACACATTCAGTTGAAAAACTTTTTGATAAAAATATTGAAAAAAGATTTTAATGGCAACCAGATGAAAATAATAATCATAATATATTCATATCCAGAATTCAAAATCAAAAGTCTCACTTAAAAAAAAAAAAATCCTTTGATTGATTCTAACTAAAATTTCATGCCATAAAACTTAAATAAATCACCAAATCCCATATTGAAGTCACAAAAAAAAAAAAACTACCTTTTAAAATGACAGGTGATTTCATCAAGGTATAAGGATCATCAGAATCTCTAAATAATTCCCATTGTTCTTTACAGCTTCTAATACTTCTACAAATATTATTATAACCTGGTACCATAGCTTCTAAATACTGACAAACATGCCACATACTCTCATGCACCCATGATGGTAAAGTTTTATGTTTTAATGATGTTTTATCACCAGCTTGAGCTTCTGATTCTAATCTTTCCATTGGAGTCATTCCTGTAACAGAATATAATGGCTTTATCAATTTCTGTGACAAAAAGGAAGTTGGACAAAATGTGTGTTCTTTTGTTTTTGTATTAATTATTGATAAAATAAACTTGCTGTTTGAGAATGAAACTTGAACAACAGAGAATAAGATCTGCTGCAATATTGCAGTAGGTTTTAAAAAACCTGAGTCATCCAAAAGTCATTTACAAAACATACCATCATGTTCTCCAGCTACTGCTTCATTCATCATGGTGGCCATGACAGTTCCATGTAAAAACACTTGCCATTCTGTATTCTCTATTTTACCCATAGTAATGGTATCATCTTCATACACTGAGTTAGACTGCATGATACTGGTACAGATCATAAAGGAGAAGGTCAGCTGATGATGGGCAAACAAACCAACAGACACAACACGATAAATACTATTGGTTAAAGTCTCTATCATATTCTTTAAATGCTGACGTAAATTGTCGGAAATTTCACCACTATCCAATGACGATCTAGTATTACTACGACTAGGTGGCCGAATCACGCCTGCTTGATGCACCACACTATTTCTCTGTTTCGACATTGAAGAGTTGGGTGTAATACAGGCTATAAACATATCTTGAAACCAGCTTAATGAAAATTGATACATGACATCTATAGTTGCTAGTTCTGCTAAGACAAAATATAATACAGCTCCTCTTGTAGCAACCTGAAAGGATGAATAGAGAAAATGGATGTCTTTATCCAAATTTTTAACTCAAAAGTAGGATGAGTTTAATTTCTCTTAGAGAAAGTCAGATGAGTAAATTCTCACAGTGTTTGTTAGTCAGATGAACCAAGTTTCTCCCAGTGTTTGTTAGTCAGATGAAACAAGTTTCTCCTAGTGTTAAATAGTCAGATGAACCAAGTTTCTCCTGGTGCTAATTAGTCAGATGAACCGAGTTTCTCCTAGTGCTAATTAGTCAGATGAACCAAGTTTCTCTTAGTGCTAATTAGTCAGATGAACCAAGTTTCTCCTAGTGCTAATAAGTCAGGTGAACCAAATTTTCTAGTGCTAATTAGAACCAAGTTTCTCCTTGTGTTAATTAGTCAGATGAGAACTATCCATTACCCTTGCTAAAAAAATCAAAATATAGATCTCCATAATAGGAAACTAAGAGTTTACTTACTGGTAGATAGCGTTTTCTAGCTATATTGATTTTCTTTTCTGTTTCTTCAGACTGTTCAACTCTACTATATATTTCACCAGCAATGCCTTTACTCTTCTGTAATGTTTCCACTAGATCTTGATCATCCAAAATATGACCTGAAATCATTAATTTTTAATATAAACCAGTCATTGCCACCAAAGAATAAAAGGCTAACTCAACCATGTACTAATACACCAGTATAACAAAACCTAACAGAAAAGAACAGAAAAACCGAACCTTAATTTGGTATTAAGCATGTTGAAGCTAAGACATACCCTTTTAAAAAGCAGCATCATGACATGCTCATCCCTGCAGATCCTGAAACTTATCTAAAGAATCTCCACTGAAAGTCCCTGATGGATTAAAACACATCCTACTAATAGATAAGATATTGAGTTAGAAAGATGGACGCAAAAGAATTATGGCAGAAGTGTAAAGTTCTTTCACTCAAAACCAAAACAGACAACATACCTTCTGATTTTTGTAGCAAACTTAAAGATTTATCTTCTAAATCACGTAAAGCTTGTCTATCATTAGTTATACTCTCCATTAAATCTCTACGATCACTCTCTAGTTTAGGTCGTTCTTGTTTGACCACTGCTGATAATAACTGTTCTTGTAAACCATCGAAGGTAACAGTAAAATTAATAATATTAGCCTGTATAAATATGGCTGGTAAATAATGTGGATTGGTCATAGTAGTTGTTAAATATAATCTGAAATAATAAATAATAATCTGTACCAGAATCAACATTTCAAACCAAAGACAGTAAAGTCAAAGGATGACAAAGGATCAGCACTAAAATGCTGTAGTTCTTGGAACTCTCAATCATCCCACACCATATGTATCTCAATACAGGAGTTTCGACTTGATATGTATCCAATGGATGCCTGGTATTGTCAAATTGGATAAATTCCCGGGCAATACGATTTGAGCACTGTGGCATCATGATGAAATTACTTCAACCACAATAGAAGCAAAACCTCAAACTTCAATATTGAAAAATTCAATCCAAATTCTATCAGAAACAATATTTTACCTGAATCTTTCATTGTATTCTATCTCTGTATCACCTATCAATATAACTAGATGACCTGCTCTAGAGTATGTCTCTTGTAATAATACTGGTCTTAAAGCAGGGTCTAACTCTTCACCAACATCCTATAGCAGAGAAAATTCAACATCATTAAATGCGCTGTGATATTAAATGTAAGAGACACACACAATGTGCTATGATATCAGAAGAAATGTGTCAATGTGGTGTGATATCACAAGAAATGTGTCAATGTGGTGTGATTTCACAAGAAATGTGTCAATGTGCTGTGATATCAGAAGAAATGTGTCAATGTGCTGTGATTTAACAAGAAATGTGTCAATGTGCTGTGATATCAGAAGAAATGTGTCAATGTGCTGTGATTTCACAAGAAATGTGTCAATGTGCTGTGATATCAGAAGAAATGTGTCAATATTATGTGATTTCAAATAGAATTGATAAAATGTATGATGTAAAACAGTAAGGACACAATTTGCTCTGGTATCAAACTGTGTGGCCTCAGAAGATCAGAAAAGTGATATCATAAAGCAAGAACACCATGTGCTGTGATATCATAAAGCATGAATAGAATGTGCTGTGATATCATAAAGCATGAACACAATGTGCTGTGATATCATAAAGCATGAACACTATGTTCTGTGATATCATAAAGCATGAACACAATGTGCTGTGATATCATAAGGCAAGAACACAATGTGCTGTGATATCATAAACCAAGAACACAATGTGCTGTGATATCATAAAGCAAGAACACAATGTGCTGTGATATCATAAAGCATGAACACTATGTTCTGTGATATCATAAAGTATGAACACAATGTGCTGTGATATCATAAAGTATGAACACAATGTGCTGTGATATCATAAAGCATGAACACAATGTGCTGTGATATCATAAAGCATGAACACAATGTGCTGTGATATCATAAAGCATGAACACTATGTGCTGTGATATCATAAAGCATGAACACTATGTTCTGTGATATCATAAAGCATGAACACAATGTGCTGTGATATCATAAAGTATGAACACAATGTGCTGTGATATCATAAAGTATGAACACAATGTGCTGTGATATCATAAAGCATGAACACTATGTGCTGTGATATCATAAAGCATGAACACAATGTGCTGTGATATCATAAAGCAAGAACACAATGTGCTGTGATATCATAAAGTATGAACACAATGTGCTGTGATATCATAAAGCATGAACACTATGTGCTGTGATATCATAAAGCAAGAACACAATGTGCTGTGATATCATAAAGCATGAACACTATGTGCTGTGATATCATAAAGCATGAACACTATGTTCTGTGATATCATAAAGCATGAACACAATGTGCTGTGATATCATAAAGCATGAACACAATGTGCTGTGATATCATAAAGTATGAACACAATGTGCTGTGATATCATAAAGCATGAACACTATGTGCTGTGATATCATAAAGCATGAACACAATGTGCTGTGATATCATAAAGCAAGAACACAATGTGCTGTGATATCATAAAGTATGAACACAATGTGCTGTGATATCATAAAGCATGAACACTATGTGCTGTGATATCATAAAGCAAGAACACAATGTGCTGTGATATCAATTCTACATATAATGTTTAATGAAACCAAGCTACCAAAGAAATTTAAGTCCATATTAATAACTTACCTTGATAAGAACAGGATCTCCTACTCTGATAGCAGTTTCCATTGTTCTCATCAAATTATGATCTGTAGCTGTTACTATTTTTAATCTACTACCTTCCATTTCCTTAACCCAACGTAATGATAACATAATTAATATTCAAT